CCCTTAAGCTTGAGTATTATAGGATCTTTATCTATTTTACTTTCCCGTTTTAGACTAATTTCGTGTTATTGCCCTTTTCAGGTGCTTATCCCAAAAATAAGTCAATTAAGCCAAATAAGAGCATTAAAGAAGTTAACTCAAGCTGAATGGAAGACATGAGCAAAGTGGAAGCTAAATGAAGCAAAGTGTGGAAATTCAGTACGTTCGATCGATCACAGCATTTCTTCAATCGATTGTAAGTTCATCGATCTAAACAGTTCAAGATGGATCCAAGCCCTTGTTCTTATCCAAAAGAATCCAACAAGTTCTTTCGATCCAACATTTCCCAGATCAATCAAAATGATTCAATCTTATCCACACCTACCACCCACTTACCACTTTTTTCTTATTCCCAAAAATATCCCAAAATATCTCAGAGATTTGTCTTTATTCAAAAAGGCGCCACCAAGGATGATCGATCTCTGCAGCATTCGATGGATCTCAGCCAAGTTCGATCGATCTTAACACAGTTCGATCGATCGAACTTCCTTAAGTTCGAAAAAAAAACAAATTCTAGCTCATTAAAAGTTGGCTAATGGTGCAATCATTGGAGGGACCTTGATGCACGAATCCAGACCATTGGTGTGACATTTGACCTACCTATATAAGGATTTTTAGCCACTTTTAGGGCATATAAAGATGATATAGAATTCATATAGGTATAGATTATTTCATAATATCGTTTCTCATATATTGGAGAGGAGGCTAGAGATTAGAGAGCTTTACACATTTTTGGGGAGGTCTTCCGTTCTTCTAGGGTTTCCATCAAGAAGGAGGTTATTTCTACCATGCAGATAGCCCTTGAAGGTTGGATAACTACTTCAATGAGTGGCTAGACATCTATTTGGGGTTAGGGTAGCCCCTAAGTTTGCTTCCTAGATTTAATTCTTTGTATATTTTTGGGGATTTATTTGTAACAATGTTTTAATCTTGGATTTATATATATATATATATATATATCTTGTGGTTACTACTTGATGTGTATGGATTAATACTTTCAATTGATTATCTACTTTTAACCATATGTCTATGTATGCTAGAATGGATGATTCATGTGCTTTTCTCTAGATTTAATGGAATTTATGCATGTTTATGTGTATGGATGAAGTTAATCTAGAGATGGTCAAAACATATAGCTTAATTGAACACTCTTATAATTTATTTGATGGTTCACACTTGTTTCTTGATGGATTGTACCACATCTTTAGCTTACTTAGTTTAATTTCATGTCTTTAGTGTAGATGTAGTGTAGTTGCTTTAAATTCATAGATAGGTGAACAATCTACTCTTGTTCCTTGGTGTTCCATACTTATGAATGCATTAGGTGTATGTTTCTAGATAGTTGTGTGTGCATAAATTGTGGATTCATTGAATGGATCTGGGTCTCATTTGATAGGTTGTTCTTTCTATTTGATTTGGCTTGACAATCTATGCTTATTTGCCATCCATGCCTAGTTTCAATGAATGTCATACACACACACACACACAAGTTACAAGTCAATCTCCCCATTAATATACAATTGCTAGTGTCTAGGTAAGTCAAGCTTAGTGGTGAGCTTTAATACCCCAAGTCCTCCCCTCTATATCTTTCTCTACTTTATTAATCATTGAATTTTGTTTACTTTAATTTCATTTGCATAATATCTTAATCAATCAATCCAACCAACCTTTGATCACTCGACCTACTAACCCTATTTATTATTTCCATTACAAAGGCACCCACAATCCCTTGGGACGATCCTTACTTACCCTATCTATATTTTTAGTTAGAGGTAGTAGTGGCTTTTATAAATTTAAAACTTGGCCATATTGCACATTCACACTCTTAGTTCATCTCTTTGCAAACTTTTGGTGAACCGCGGCTTAAACCACCAAAGCCCAAATAAAGTCGTCATCAGCGCAAAAGTTATTAATATTAAACTCTCGGCCTGCTATAAGACCAATCCGGTCCACTCACATTACAATCCAAATACAGTCCGAATCAGTTAAGTCCTGCATTGCAAAGGGTCCTTTATAGAAAGAAGTTCTACATGGGAAAAGTTCTGCATGTAAAGAATTACAGAAGGAAAGAACCTTTTATGTAATGAATTATACATGGAATGAATCTTATATGGAAGAAACGTGGAAGATAAGCATAGTGAATTCTACCATAAATCTACCTCAATTTGTATATAAATAGAGGCACATAGCTCTAATAAAGATCATTGAACATTACAAGTTTTTCTCTGAGTTGTTCTTGTTGTTAATAGAGTGAATTATTCTTTTATTTGAATGAGTTGTTTTTATTCTTTGACTTTTTAAAGTTAAACGAAATTTTACACCTACCGTCAAGAAAAGCAATATTTTACAAAAGGAGCTAATTCCAATTGAAAATTCACAAGAGAAGAAAGAGATCATTGTTGTTCATGAGAGAGAATCCCCAAAAATAAATGGCGAATTTTGATTTTTTTTCTTATATATATATATTTGTGTAGGCAATTTGTTATTGTCTATATGCATTCATGAGGTTGGTCTGATTTTGGATTTTTTCATATTAGGTTTATCAGTAATCTATTGTTGTTGTATGCATTTTGGATTGGCCTAAAGAGAAGAAATACAACTCAGGAATGGATTACGAAGAGAATGGATCTGTTTGAAACTGGCACCGAAGCGAAAAGACTCACTACAAATCAGATCAAAGCATCTAACACTTACTTCCAAGCGATCCGAACGGTAGCTATTCCAATACAAGACACATAAGCTCAAGACTTTCACCCTTTCATAAGTCAATTCATTTCCCTAACACCCTTAATACGTCACCTTTGTTGATATGGCAAGGCCACCACGTGGCATCTATTGATTGGCTCTATGCTCGTTGAACTCATATGTGTGTGTGAATCTGATCTTTTACTGTAACGGAGGAGTAGGAGGAAATCAAGAGAGAGAATAGAGGAGGAGAGTCCAAATGTTTGTGTATACTGTATACTCCCTCCGTCCCTTATTAATAGTCTATTTTCTCATTTGTTGTTATCCCATTTTAGTTGTCACATTTCAAAAACAATACACTACTTTTTATTACATTCCCAATTTACCCCTAAAAGATTAAACTAATTAAAATTTCAAAATAAGTGGACCCCATTAAAAATAACTTTTCCATACTTACTTTTGAAACCCATTTTTTCAAAAACAGTGGACCCCATTAAAAATACACCATAATCTTCTTTTATAAGTATTACACAGTTCCATTATACTTTTCCATTAAAAAGCTAACTTCCCTTCTCAGCACCTGTTATCTCCAAACAACTAATCCGAGCCAAATAGTGATCCAACTGAAGTTGCTAATAGAGAAAGTCCCTGTAGCGGGCACTACGCAAGCTTTAAGCATCTAAACATAGTCTGAATCCAATTCAAGGTAAAAAGAACCCAGGTTATGTCATACTCCAACAAAAGTTCCAACAGTGCACAACAAAACCTTCTTCCGCTTAAAAAAGAGATCCCCACAAAAATCCATTTTTTATCCCCACAAAAACTAGTACACAAACATTAAATTATAGAAGAAAAAAAAAACACTCATATGGCTTACAAAAATGAGGATTATTATTAGATAAAGAAGAGTGTTTTTAATTATTGTTAGATAAATAAGAGTGTTTTTAACCAAATGGAACAAACATTTAGGAATATTATTAGCGCTAGCATACTTCCTTTAATCAGATTAAGTTTTGTTTCTTTTATTTTCTTATGGTAAGAAGAGAAATGCGCAATCAATTTTCAGCATAAATAAAGTAAAAAACTTTTTTAGAAAGAAATTCAGACCAGGGGGATAGAAGGCTCAGAATAAAATTCATGGTTGACTCTTTCATAGTAATCGAACTGCCCTTAGCATAGGTGATCCCATATGAAGCTTCAATCACTGAACCTAACAGCCACTTTTCCAACCATTTTGACAGGCAAAGCAAATCCATGGTAAGGAATCTCTTTACAATTTTTTTTTTTTTTTTTTTATGTACATACCCAAACTTTTTACACAAAAACTCCTTTATGTAACCCCTTCATAAAAAGGTAAGAGAGCAAACCGTGGCTTACAAAATATTTGTACGTGGAATGAGATACTTCTTTCACACCATTCTTCAAACTTTTTGGGTATAAAACCAAAGTAAGTCTACAAAAGTCCCAAGGTTGCACAATACATTCTCCTATATTTAAAACCAAAGTCTTCTTCTTCTTAAAAAGAAAAACAGGGCACCCATCTTCATTTATTACACCACAAAAACCTGTAAAAAAAAAATAAATAAATTTATATATATTGATATACTCACATTACAACTACAACAAACAAAATACTGCATCAAGAGAAAAAAAAAAAAAAAAAAAAAAAAAAAAAAAACTCACATTGCTGTCACAAAAGGATGATCAATTTCTTAGGTGACTTAGAGCATTTTCAACCACATCATGTTCATAGTAAAGCTGAGAAGGAAGATTACCATGATTCCTCAATTGATTTTTTTTTTCATATGTGGCAATTTGTAGTTCTTTGCCCCATACACCTTCATTGTTTCAATCATGCAGCCCTGCAATGTTAAAAAAACATTATCAAGAGTTTCTGTCGATAATTCATTGAAAGATTTTTCCACTGCATCCACCAACTCATCAACAATAGTGGGAGCTTGTTGGTATTGAAGCAATTGGATTGCTCTAAAGTATCCAAGATCAAGAACATTCAAATCTGGACTATTAGGAGGTTGGAAAGTTAACCGAACATCAAACCCATCTTTAGTCGCAGCTTCTAGGAATTTTGCATCTGGATCAATGTGTGGTTTTGCATTATCTTGTTGAATATAAATGGTTTCCATCATACCCCCACAAGGCCATTTAGCTCAAATCGCTGGTAGAACTTTCTCAATTAAATACGATCGAATTATATCTTTAGTTATCGACGACATCGGTTTTGTCTCTAATGTACCAACCATGCGATTTTTGCTACTTCATTTGGCAGGAACTTTGCAAATAAATAGGAAAATTCCAATCTTTCCAGAGAAAACTTCATGGCCAGAAGTATCATATCGTGGCCTAGCAACTGCGGCGAGAAACATAACCTTTGTACTGAACCTTTTACTTTTGCAGGTACGTACGAGTTCATTTTCTTCAGGAAGGAGATAATATTTCTCGGACTCTTTAGACATATAGAACCATTTTTCATCAATGTGAACATAATTAAGCATATTACAAAAAGTTGGCCTGTTATGAAGACTACACTGCTCAAGCATTGACAAACAAAATAACAACCTTGCTTTTTTATTCTCTTCAGTTAAAGATGGCTTCAAGGCATTTGAATGTGGTCTAATTAAGCCTTCTTTAATTCTTCTATGTAATATAGATTTAGCAACTTGCATAGCAAATGATAAAGATTGAATGTTTGTACGTTGTCGGAGAGGAATTTCTGATACCTTATTGAGATCAACTTGCACCCGTTTGCGACCAACTCTGTTATGCTTTTTGCTAGAAACATCAATTGCTGACCCATTTGAAAGATTTTCCACAAGCCGATGCCAAATTCGACTAATAGTTCTGGCACAAACAGAAAACATTTTGGCTGTGGCAGGTATGGTATGCCTTTTCAATTTTCCGTTTTCACTTTGCATCAATAGAATTTCAGCAATTGCTTGACGTTCTTGGTTTGTTAGTTCCTTTTTTAATTTTAGCCGAACAGAGTTGTTCTCTATTTGAGTTTCCATTTTAAATGGAAACCTGAGAACAAATAAAGTTAAAGAAAAAAAGAAAACGTAAGTGTTACTCCGTAAAAGACAGAAAATTTTATAAAGATAAAGAATGAAAAAGATAAAGAGTAAAAGAAGGATATGAACTTAATTTTATAAAGATAAGAATGAGAAAGATAAAGAGTTAAAGAAGGAGATGAACTCACTTGATGTAATAACACAAGTTCTATGTTGATTTGGGTAAGTAACAGAACTAACTATATTGGTAAAGAAGACAGAGTTTGTTTTTGAGTTGGAGTTTGTTTAGGTAAAAGGAACTCTTGAAATTTTTAAACACAGAGTATACTGCCCTTTGTTTCAGATTGGCGCTAAACTTTTGGAATGGCGGTAAAAGAAAAAACAATTTTTTAGGGAAGGGCAAATTTGGAAATGAATATTTTTTCAATCTAATAAAATATAATAAAAATTGTTGCCTTAAAAATTGTGAAATATGGAATTTGGGCAATTATAAAGGGACAGAGGGAATATAATATTTCTTGGCTTTTTGCCAATTTTTTATGTTGTCTGCGTGCCGACCAAGACCAACAGTCAAATCTCATTATTGCTCTTATAGGTATGCGTGGTGAGCAAGATAAGAAGCTGGATTCGAGGAAGGGCGAGTTTGTCCTAAATTCTTGTCTTACCTCCAGTCAGAGGGTCTTTGGATCATGGTTTGCCACATTGACCAACCAATATGCGGTTTATTGTTTGATTAGTAATATTTTTTCAAATGTATGATACTATTACACACTTCTATGAACCGAACGATTCGATTGGTGATCGATACAACGAATCAGCTTGTTGAATGTTAAAAAAAAATTAGGCTTGTTATTCAAACAGTCGGAGTAAAGAATCGTCAGCGTTCTAGTGTGTTGTAGATTCTTATCCAAGACTCGTATCATTTAATGATGTCACGTGAATCACTACAAACATCTCAAGTGTATGGCTAATCCAATAACCAATTGAAAACAAAGAGAAGCTTCATGTGCTGTCTACATTGAAATTTGTTGAGCGTTTATTGTTAGAAAAAATAGATCAAAAGAATATGTTGTTAAAATAATGGTAAGAGTTTTTTTTTTGGTAATTTTCCCCAATAATAATAACTTCTTGAGAACCATTACAAGACCAAATAAAAGCAAATTACAGTGAAGTCACACATTTCAATATATATATTTATATATTTTAAAGTAAATCATGTGCACGCATTCAATATTGTCTTATTAGGAATTTCGAATCTCAACCTGTTTCGTAACTAAACTGTCACTCCAACATGAAAATTGATAGCATTTTTATTGTGCTAGAATTAGACTAGTGTACAATTTGAGATTGATAAGTGTGTCATATGAATATTTTCTTAGGCAAATATTCAATTTTTTATAAAATAATTTCAAAACTGTGTATCGATGGAATTAGTAATTGAGAAACAACTTCTTTAAATCTCAAGGCACTACAGAATGTGACCCAGACATGGCCAGCCTAAGACTAATTCACACTAATCTAATCTCACGCTCCACCACAAAAAAAAAAGGGGTTTTAGCTACGACCTAATTTACTAAGCAATCAACCAAGACAAAAGCTTTTTTCAAATCTAACACAGTAGGTAAATTAGCTTGTCAATTGTGAAATGTCCTTAATGAAAGCACTAAGGCTGACTTCAGAAGATCCTCCTTTTGCAATTGCTTGTCGAGACATCCCCTGAAGTTCTTTTACTTTTCTATCCATTTCGGTTCTCTCTCGACTTTCCAAATCCATGAACCTCCTCACATGGTTAGCAATTTCCTCTCTCCCCACCAAATTTTCCGTTCCCCCCTCCCTCTTCATGACCCTCCAACCAATCCTCCAATCTTCACATATGGTCTTACTGATTGGGACTTGATCCACAAGTATAGGAAAAGTGAGCATTGGGACGCCTGCGAAAACACTTTCAATAGTCGAATTCCATCCACAATGAGTCAAAAATCCCCCTATCGAAGAATGGCACAAGACATTCAATTGGTCACACCAAGGCACTACAATTCCTGCATCTCCACAAGCATCCTTTATTCTCGAAGCTTCCCCACGCGCCACCCACAAGAACCGTACACCACTAGCGCCCAACCCAGCTGCAATTTCATCCATTTGGGCACTTGAAACAGAAAGGAAACTCCCCAATGAAATGTACAAAACAGAGCCTTGCGGTTGAGAATCTAACCATTTGTAGTAGTAGTTGGTGTCATTGTGGCTAGTCATATGATCAGAAGCATTGCCTCCACGTGTGAACTGAGGTATTAGAGGGCCAAAAGAGTACATGGGCATTGACAATTTTGGTCTTAAAGCATTGATGACTTGAGCTTCGAGCTCAAATATGGAGGTGAACAAGAAAAATTGTGCTTTGGGCATGTGAGAAATCATTTTGACAGCTTTGTGCAAGAGTTGTTGGTTTTTGTAGAAAGTTGTAGGTAGGTCTACTAGACGGATTGATGATATTCCGGGAATGTAACCCACTCGCTTTTCTCCTTTTTCTGTTAAGCATAAACAAACGTACACAACAAATTTTTATCAATCTTTTTACATCAAAACATATATTTATGTTTAAAACAAAATTTTGTATATAGGGAAACATGTGATGTTTGGGAACATGAGAATGGTTTTGGCATTAGAGAAATCAATGATATGAGTGTGTACGTTTTTGAAGAAAAACTACTACATTTCCATTGAAGTGTACCTATATGAAGGAATACATTTCCATTGAAGTGTACCTATATGTAGGAATGGCAATGGAGATGGAGATCTCATTCTCCATCCCCTCACCATTTATTTTTTTATCCCATAATTGCCTCAAAACCCATTAAATTTTTCAAAATTGTCCAAAAATCCGTCCGATTTTTCAGATGAACCTCAATCCTCACCCCCCATTTACATAATTAGTTTCCCATGGAGACGGAATTTTCACCATCCCTATATGAGAAGCACTTAGTTAAAAACATTTCTTAACAAAAATAAATAAATAAGTAAAAAATAATAATATGAAGAGTGCTGCATAAAAAATATTTTACATGTAAAATATGGTTTTTTTTTTTTTTTTTTGTCTGGTGTTCAACAACTATCTTAAATTATTACTAGTGGGCCATTAGTTATTTATTATTATTATTTTTTGCCGACTAGTAGGCCATTAGTTTAACTAGCTGTCAAAGGGAAAATGGCGTGTATGGATGTGTAAAATCATTTACCCAAGTCCTAAGCAAATAATAATAAATTCTTCTTTTTGTCACCTTCTTATAAGTTGCAATAACAAAGCCTTTTCTTGTAAATTTTCGGCTTTAATACCATCTTTCTTTTTAAATATACTATGAAAATTTATTACTATTTCTTAAAAAAAAAAAAAATCATCTTTCTTTAATCACTTCAGATTCTAATATTTTTCATGTTCACGTACCGGACACGTCAAAAGGATAATCCTGGTTCTGCACGAAGAGGTCAAAATGGTAAAAGATGGAAAACACCGACATCGGCATGGGCCAAAGCGCAGCCACCGGAATATTCCTCCGATTCCCGACCTTAGCCGCCCACAAAACAAAAACATCAGCCACGATGATGGTTGGCGGCGGCTCCAGCCGGTCCAGGAGCTGCTCGAACGGCTCCTCCATCTTGGTCAAAACAGCTTCGATGAAGCCGACAATGTCGGCGCCTCGGACCAGCTCGGAAGGTAAGACGTTGGGGATTGTGCAGAACCGAATGTTAGACGGCTTGGCCTCTGAGCCGATTAAGCCGAGCCACTCCTCCGTGACGACGAAGCTGATCAGAAGATCGTCGCTCCGTGAAACTAGTAATTTGCAGAGGTTCATCGTAGGGTTGATGTGTCCTCTTCCTGGATATGGCAAGGCCACCACGTGACATCTATTGATTGGCTCTAGGTTCGTCGAATCCATATGTGTGTGTGTGAATCTGATCTTCTACTGTAACGGAGGAGTAGGAGGAAATCAAGAGAGACAGAGTGGAGGAGGAGAGTACAAATGTTTGTGTATATATAATATTTCTCCGACACCAAATATGGCTTTTTGCCAATTTTCTATATTGTCTGCGTGCTGACCAACAGTCAAATCTCATTATTTCTCTTATAGGTATGCGTGGTGAGCAAGATAAGAAGCTGGATTCGAGTAGGGGCGAGTTCATCCTAAATTCTCATCTTACCTCCGATCAGAGGGTCTTTGGATCATAGTTTGTCACATCGGCTATGGCTTTATTCGTAACAATATTTTTAAATGTATGATATTGTTACACACCTCTATGAATCGAATAGTTCGATCAATTTATACCGATATTCGTCTGAATCCGATATATCGTGATAACGTACCGCAATCGATGCCGCAAACCATGCTTATGATATAAAGTTGAATGTTAGTATCACTTAATATTTTGAGTCGGCACTTTGTTTGTGACAAATGATATGAGAACAGGTTTAATCTTTAATCTGGTATCACACTAGGTGCTCACACATAAGTGTTCGGGTGAGATATCGAGACTCTGGTCGTTAGAGTGGATGGGGTATATAAATGACAAAGAATCTATAGGGTATTTTAGTCATTTTATATAATTCTTGATGATTTAACAAAGTGAAATAATATCGAAGTCATTTTAAATAATGTCAAAGCTTGACAACAAATTCATGTGATGCCATGAGATGATTGTGTAAAATGGAACAAACATTTGGGAGATTTTTTTAATAAAAACTAAAATTAAATTCACTATCTATGTAAAATACTAACAAATCTCACAAAGTCTCGGTATAATTAATCCTAAATTGAAGATGCAAGAAAAATGCTCTCTCAATTTGAAAAGAAAAATGCAAGAATACTCTTTTATTTAGCCTTGCAATTTTCTCTCATAAATATACATGCGTGCATATGTGTACATGGAGGTAAAAAGGTACCAATTAAGAAGAAAGAACAAATACCATGCATTAATACAGTAGTGCCAATAATGTTTTATCAAATCTAACACAGTGGATAAATCAGGTTGTCAATTGTGAAATGTCCTTAATGAAAGCACGAAGGTTCACTTCAGAAGATCCTCCTTTTGCAATTGCTTGTTGAGATATCCCCTGAAGTTCTCTTACCCTTTTATCCATTTCCGATCTCTCTCGACTTTCCAAATCCATGAACCTTCTCACAAGGTCAGCAATTTCCTCTCTCCCCACCAAATTATCCGTTCCCCCCTCCCTCTTCATGACTCTCCAACCAATCTTCCAATCTTCCACTATGGTCTTACTGATTGGGACTTGATCCCCACGTATAGGAAAAGTGAGCATTGGCACGCCTGCGAAAACACTTTCCATTGCCGAATTCCATCCACAATGAGTCAAAAATCCCCCTATTGAAGAATGGCACAAGACATTCAATTGGTCACACCAAGGCACTACAATTCCTGCATCTCCACAAGCATCCTTTAGGCTTGAAGCTTCCCCATGCGCCACCCACAAGAACCGTACACCACTAGCGCTCAACCCAGCTGCAATTTCATCCATTTGGACACTTGAAACAGAAAGGAAACTCCCCATTGAAATGTACAGAACAGTGCCTTGCGGTTGAGAATCTAACCATTTGTAGTAGTAGTTGGTGTCATTGTGGCTAGTCATATGATCAGAAGTATTGCCTCCAAGTGTAAAGTGAGGTATTAGAGGGCCAAAAGAGTACATGGGCATTGACAATTTTGGTCTTAAAGCATTGATTCGAGCTCAAATACGGAGGTGAACAAGAAAAATTGTGCTCTGGGCACATGAGAAATCATTTTGACTGCTACGTGCAAGAGTGGTTGTTTCTTTTTGTAGAAAGTTGTAGGAAGATCTGCTTAACGAATTGATGATAATCCGGGAATATAACCCACTCGCTCATCTCCTCTTTCTGTCAAGTATAAATAAATAGACAACAAATTTTTTATCAATCTTTTTACATCATAACATATATTTACTTAAAAACAAAAACTTTGTATATAGGGAAACATCTATTTTGTATATAGGGAAACATGTGATGTTTGGGAACATGAGAATGGTTTTGGCATTAGAGAAATAAATGATGTGTGTGTGTTTTCGAAGAAAAACTACTTTATTTCCTTTTAAGTGTATCATACTTAACCTATTTTAGTAATATATCATAATATGTAAGAGTAATTTAATAACTTTATAGAATATTTGGGGCAAAGTAACCATCTCCCGAAAACGTTTCAAAACCCGTCAGGCTTTTCAAAGCAACCTCAATCCAAGTTTCCATTTACATAATTGGTTCCCCACTGAGGTGGGAATTATCGTCATCCCTAAATGAGAAGCACTTGAACAGTTAAAAACATTTCTTAAAAAAATGCTATGAAAATTTATTACTCTTATATTACAACTTTGGGCTAAGTGCAAAAAACCCCATTGATATATAGGGTTTGTATAAAAAAGTTCATACTTTTTGAAAATATGCATTCAGTCTATAAAATTCAAAAAGGGTGTAAATAAGCCCTTCTGACCACTTTTTGACAAAATTGACATAAAATAAATTCAAAAACCCTATTTTACCCTTCGGTTAAGTGCAGAAAAACCCCTCTCTACTATTGATATAGTGTAAAACAGTTCCTATGTAGTATAAAACCATTATATACTATCAATTTGATGCAATTATCCCCCTGTTAGCATAAAAAGACATTAATACCCTCTAATACAAATGAAATAATATTTAAAAAAAAATTAGACAATGTAAAAAATTCATGTTAAACAAATATAAAATATAACCACTACTAATTTTTAGCTAACCAGACCGAGGTTAAAAATTTCAAAAATTCCGATTAATTTAAGACCATTAACTTTTATTTTTGATTTTTTTTTTTTTTTTACATACATTTTATACTAATAGTTACAAATTCAATATTATTCAATTAAGATCATTAACCTTAAAATAAATATATTTAAGATATCAATAAGTAGTGACAAAACTGTAAAAAATTAATAATTAATGAATTCTGAACAAAATTAAAGATATATTAAAAAATAGAACTTTATTCCTCTTGATTATTATGGTAAAGTGGATTTTTTTTCTTCTTCTTCGTTTTTTTTTACCCACTATGAAGTTAAACTAAATGATAATTTTCTAACAAATAATACATTTGGTTTGTACAGTAATTATGATAAATTTCAAGGATGATCACTGTTCTTTATTTTTGGAAATTACAATCACTGTAATTTTAAAATTGCATGCATTTACTCACTTTATGTTTTCAGGGGACCCAAAAGGGTGTTATGGGTCCTACTTTCTTCAATTTGAGGGCAGTGAAACTACTTTTTTTTTGTACGGACACTCGTCGGCCTAGTCTAATATAGATTCTTTTAAGAGGAAATTATGGTATTGTGTGTGTGTATATATATATATATATATACAATACCATAATATATATTTATTTTTTCAAATGAGGATAAAATGTAATGTTTGTTTTTTTAAAAAATTCATTTTATGTCAATTTTGATCAAAAAGTGGTCAGAGGAGCTTATTTGCACTTTTTTTTTTGAATTCTATGGACTGAAATACACATTTTCAAAAAGTATGGATTATTTCTGCACAAACCCTATATATCAGGAGGGTTTTTTGCACTTAATCCAAAAATTTATATTAGAAAGGGTATTAATGTCTTTTTATGTGAAGAAGGGATAATTATACCAAATTAATAATATATGAGAGTTTTATACCACACAAAAACTCTTTTGCACTAGGTAGGGTTTTTGCACTTAACCTTTACAACTTTCTTTAAAAAAAAATGTTTGAGTCCTACCGCCATCAAGACAGATTGTGTCATGCACATTAATGTGTCCCAATAAGATATTGACACCTCTTTTAAGCTTAAAAAAATACAAAACATAGGTTATACCCATTTTTTAGGGTTAAACCCTATAGATTTTTTTTTTTTTTTTCATCTATGTATCTTTATCTATCTTTCTTTTTCTTTACCCGCCAATCATTCCAAACCTAATATTTCTATTGTGTCCTCCACGACTCTGCTTCATATTGGATTTAGATTTGGATTTGGATTTCGGTCTTAGTAAGGATTGATTCATTTTCTTAAAACAAGTATATTAAAACATTATATTTGTCCGGCGTGTAATTTTTCTTTTCCAAATAGCTTAAATCGGATAAGAGATTTTGTCCACATTTTGAGTTTTTTTTTTCGCTTTAAAAAATGAGGACAATGGTTTCTGCTATGTTCTTTTCGCTCTCATTCTTATTTATAGAAAAAGGTACCTAGGAAATATAAATAAGACAGAAACTGTAAAATTAAGTAAAAAAATGAATAACTTTCATATATATATATATATATATATATAGCATGCATAAAATACAATTGAGGTATATTTTAAAAAATGAGAAACATAAATGGTTAGTTTAATTTTTTAAGGATAGTTTTCTATCTTAAAAAAATTAAAAATAAAAATATAATTTTTCATGATTTAATTAAAAAAATATTCAAAGTTGAATAAGGAAAAATATAAATATGTCGGATTTAACTACAAAATATAGATATAACTCATATTTTATATTTTTTTTATATGTCAACTTGTGACAAGTTAATGTACATAACACAATCTGCCTTGTTTGGTTGTTTGGGACAGGACTGACTGAAGCATTGTCCCAGGAAAAAAAAAAAAAAAAAAATCATCTTCCTTTAATCAATTCGTATTCTAATATTTTTCATGTTCGCGTACCTGACACGTCAAAAGGATAATCCTGGTTCTGCACGAAGAGGTCAAAACGGTAAAAGATGGAAAACACCGACATCGGCATGGGCCAAAGCGCAGCCACCGGAATATTCCACCGATTCCCGACCTTAGCCGCCCACAATACAAAAACATCAGCCACGATGATGGTTGGCGGCGGATTTAGACGGTCCAGCAGGAGTTGCTCGAACGGCTCCTCCATCTTGGTCAAAACAGCTTCGATGAAGCCGACCATGTCGGCACCGCGGACCAGCTCGGAAGGCAAGACGTTGGGGATTGTGCGGAACCGAATGTTAGACGCCTTGGCCTCAGAGCCGATGAAGCCGAACCACTCCTCCGTGACGACGAAGCTGATCAGAATATCGTCGCTCCGTGAAACTTGTAATTTGCAGGGGTTCATCATAGGGTTGATGTGTCCTCTTCCTGGATATGGCAAGGCCACCACGTGGCATCTACTGATTGGCTCTACGTTCGTCGAACCCATATATGTGTGTGAATCTGATCTTCTACTGTAACGGAGGAGTAGGAGGAAATAAAGAGAGAGAGAGAGAGAGGAGGAGTAGAGTACAAAATGTTTGCGCATATATAATATTTCTCCGTCACCTAATATGGCTTTCTGCCAATTTTTTTTGTTGTCTGCGTGTTGACCAACTGTCAGATCCCATTATTGCTCTTATAGGCACGCGTGGTGACCAAGATAAGAAGCTGGATTCGAGTAAGGGCGAGTTCGTCCTAAATTCTTATCTTACCTGGAGGGTCGTTGATCATAGTTTGTCGCATCGGCGGATATTTGACATATGCTTCATTCGTAACAATTTTTTCAAATGTATGATATTGTTTTACATCTCTATGGATGGAACAATTAAATCAATTTGTACGGATATTCGTCTGAATTCGTTATATTGCGATAACATACCGCGATTGATACCGCAAACCATGCTTGGAATATAAAGTTGAATGTTAGTATCACTTAATATTTTGAGTTGGCACTTGATTCGTGACAAATGATATGAGAAGAGGCTTAATCTTTGATTTGGTATCACACTAAGTGTCCATACATAAGTGTTCGGGTGGGGAGACTCCGGTTCGTTAGAGTGGATGGGGTATATAAATGACAAAGAATCTATAAGGTGTTTTAGTCATTTTATATAATTCTTGGTGATTTAACAAAGTGAAATAATATGGAAGTCATCTTAAATAATGTCAGAGCTTGACAACAAATTCATGTGATGCCAGGAGATGGTTGTGTAAAATGGAACAAACATTTGGGAGTTTTTTTTTTAATAAAAAGTAAAATTAAATTCACTATTTATGTAAAATACTAACAAATCTCACAAAGTATCGGTGCAATTAATCCTAAATATATTAAGTTTTTAAGTGTCACACCTTTCAATATTTTTTATTTTAGGTAAATCATGGATGCATTTAATATATTTTTTAATCGAATAATGGACTCCAATCTCAACTTTCTCTGAGACCAGAAAGACATGAAAGATTAAATGTGTAAGTCTATGTTTTCTTTCTTTTTTATTTGTTGTATAGTTCATGAAATTGTTGATAATGTTTTCAAAAATTATAGGACAGAACTATGAAATATTAGTGGGTTTGTTTTTTATCCTTCAGTACTTTAATATTTGTCCATAGTTGTCCCATGAACTATGAAATATTACTGAAGTTCTCTTGCGCTTGTAGTCATTTCTTGTCTCTTTGGGCTTTCCAAATCCATGAACCTCACAAGGTCAGCAATTTCCTCTCTCCCCACCAACTTGTCCATTCTCCCCTCCCTCTTCATGACCCTCCACCCAATCCTCCAATCTTTGACTATAGTCTTACTAATCGGGGCTTGATCCATAAGTATAGGAAAGGTGAGCATTGGTACGCCAGTGAAAACATTTTCCATAGTTGAATTCCATCCACAATGACTCCAAAATCCCCCCACCGAAGAATGGCACAAAACCTTCAATTGGTCACACCAAGCACTACCATTCCTGCGTCTGCACAAGCCTCCTTAAGCCTCGAAGCTTCCCCACGGGCCACCCACAAGAACCGTAAACCGCTAGCGCACAACCCGGCTGTAATTTCATCCATTTGGGCACTTGAAACAGAAAGGAAACTCCCCATTGAAATGCACAAAACAGAGCCTTGAGGTTGAGAATCTAACCATTTATGGTAGTTAGTGTCATTGTGGCTAGTCATAGGATCAGAGGCACCGGTTCCAAGTGTGAAATGAGGTATCAGAGGGCCAAAAGAGTACATAGGCATTGGCAATTTTGCTTTTAAAGCATTGAAGACTTGAGCTTCGAGCTCAAAGATGGAGGTAGAACAAGAAAAATTGTGCTCTGTTCACATGAGAAATCATTTTGACAATTTTCTATAAGAATTGTTCGCTTTCGTAAAAGATTGAAGAAAGGTCCACCAAACGGATTGATGATATTCCGGAGATGTAACCAACCCGTTTATATCTTCTTTCTGTCACGTGAAAATACATACACAACAAATTTTTATTAATCTTTTTTTGCTCATTTTGAATAAAATGTTTTACATCATAACATATATTTAAATAAAAAAATTTGTATAAAATAAATCATTTGGTATTTGGACACATCTATAATAATGGTTTTGGCATTCAAGAAAAAAAAATGTGAGCATGTTTTAGGAAAAAAAAATTACTTCATTTCTTTTAAGGATATGAAAAACATTAAGCCTGTTTGGAAAGTGATGGACCACTTAAAAATGCTTTTGTTTTAAAATTTTGTGTTTAAATATGTTGGTAACCGAATGAAAAAAAATTATGTAAAAATGACAGAGATATTAGCTCAATGGATAAAGTTAAAATTTGTAACTTTGAAGACTATTTTCTTAATAGATGTCTTATATCTTTTGTAAAAAATGATATAATTGACGATTTTAATACATCTGACTTAAAATCGACTGACATAAAAATATGACATGATTATTCTAAAATTTTAAATTTAAATAAAAATTATTACTAATCTTGTTTATTTCTATAAATTAGATTTATTTCCATTTCCTTCTCTTTTAAGTTTTTCTACGTATGCCGTTACATCTTTCCTCATCTTCTTCTTTGTTTTCATGGTACTGAAATATCACAACAACAATTTAGGCATTTACCAGTGTTCTTTTTATGACCTGGTACATATCCACTTTAACCGGCGTGCATTAAATGAACGCTGGTTAGTGCGAAATTTAGTGTATTTATTTATTGCGGGGAAATTTGGCGCTAATATTATTTCACTTTACTACTGTTTCTAACTTTACCAATTTGCTGACTTCTCATCCAACTTTACCATTTCACTCATCTGAAATAAAGCCCTATCTGTATCGTCATCCGTCTCTCCTCTGCTGTGTCTCGATCTCCATTTCTCAGCTGAAGCCCTTGATTGATGTATGCTAACTCGTCTCTCCTTCGGTATTATCTCATCTGAGATTACAAAGTTGAAGCCCTAGGTTTCTCTTCAGGCCGTCTCTCCTCTGTCTCGATCACTCACCAGTTACTCGATCTCCAAGAGCTTTTAATTTATGTCATTTCGAGATCTTACTCACTAGATTTTCCTCCCAAGACGTTCTCGCTGAAGCCTCTCTCAGGTACCTCTCTGTTTCGTTTTAATTTCTTCGTGGTTTCGTTGTTTTATTTCTCACTGATCATTCATTTTACACAATTCTAGGGTTAGCGTAGACCCCATAGAATGATGGGTCTGTTTTAGTTTTACTGCATCTGTTGGATTCTCAGACGATTGAATTTTATTGTGGTTCATCAAATTAGGGTTTTTAAAATTTTCATCTCAGTAGTAAACAAAATGATTGTTCAAGATTATTAAAGTTCAGTCATTTAGAATTAATGGGTTTCGTCAGTTCAGTTCAGTAATTTTTATAGTTGAATTTTGAGTCTTTACTGTTTTAATATAAGAATGTTAGTCATTTTTGGGAACGAGCTTTTACAGTTCAGGTTGAACAAAGTAGAAAATTGAGATAATAATTCTCAATTTATGAATGTCCTTGTATTTTGGATCAGCGGTTTTTGTTCAATTTTTTGACGGGTTTGGTTTTTGTATTGCGGGAAAAATTGGCGCTCCAATATTATTTCACCATTTTGTTTCTAACTTTACCATTTTATCTCATCTAACTTAAACCATTGTTTCGTTTGACCATTTGTTTCATCTAACTTAAACTATTATGTCATCTTCAAATTGAAGCCCTAGCTGTATCTTCAGGCCGGCCGTCTCTCCTCTGCTCTATCTCGATCGATCAGGCTGTTTCTCAGCTGCAAGAGCCGCTCTCCTCTACTCTGTCTCGATCTCTCACCAGCTGCTCGATCTCCATTTCTCAGCTGAAGCCCTTGATTGATCAGGCCGTTTCTCAGCTGCAAGGCTAACCCGTCTCTCTTCAAGCCGTCTCGCCTCTGCTCGATCTCCATAACTCTCAGGCAACTTTTTTGCTTGTGATGGTTAGGGAATTTTTTGCCCCTTCACTCTCTACAGGGCCGGCCTCAGATTTTAGAGGACCTTAAATTGCTTTTGAGGCCTATAGGGGATGGAAAAAAAATAAAAACACAATCTGCTTTGCATGGCGCAGCCTCCACTATCGCCTCAGGTGAGGTGACAAGGTATGTTCATCCTCTCTCTCTCTTCTCTTCTCTCTCCTTTTGCATGAATCGATCTTTTATATATGTTTCTTTCTTTCGTTCATCTCATCATTTTATTTGTTCTAACTTTGGTTCGTTTGATTCGGGCCTTTACCTTTGTTCCAATACTGAAAAGTAGCTAGGGTTTTGTGTGTGTCACTGTGTGTGTGATGGCTATCAAAAGCTGAATGAATATATTATGGTTCTCTTAGTATTTTAATAAATGTGTGCCTTTCTACATGGGTCTTTCATGGCCATCGAGTCCATAATCTACGGCAGGTACTTTTTTTTTTTCCTCTCCCTAAGTCCACTCCAATCTCACAACAGCAGTAGCCATACCCCTTTTCCTCATAATTTTTTGCATTTTCACATTCAATCCCACAAAAATTAAGGATCCCTTCTAGTGGGTTGAGGTAATAATTAACTTTTTCGATCTCTAAATTATGCTCTTACTTAAAAATGCCAAATTAAGGGTATTTTTATTTTTATTTTTATGTGAAGATACATACCACCATTATTGATGTTATTTGAAGTTGGCTCAGCTAGAATTTCAGTTAATAATACTGTCAAAACACTTGCCATCAGAATGTACAAAAACATGGAAATCAAGAGCAGGCTTTAACAAAACAAAAGTTAATGGTTTTTTCTATTAATTTGCACAGGTCTTCTGTAGCAATGATCAATCAATCACTGCAGGTTATTGGCTCCCAAAAAAACACACAACAAAGTGTAGTGTAGTTAATATAAATAGTGAAAGACAAAACTATATATGATAGTGGAGGCCACATATAACCTAAAAGTCCCACTACTTCTTTAGTACAAGTTCAGCCTCCTCTATATATATATATAGTCACCTCATCTCCACATATTTTTGTCATCTGTAATCATTAAAATTTAGTAGCTATATAAACAATGAATGTAAAAGAAGCTGCAGTTTTCTGTTCTCTAGTAAACTGTTCTCTTCATTCTTTATTTTGTGCCTGTGTAAATTTCGCACTCTTTAATTGATAAATTTATTGTTATTAGTTAGCTGTCTTATGCACACTGCACATGCGCACAATTATTTATTGGTGGTGATAAAAATTTATAGTTATTAGTTAGTTGTCTTAAGCACACAGCACATGCGCCCAATTATTTATTGGTGGTGATAAAAATTTATAGTTATTAGTTAGTTGTCTTAAGCACACAGCACATGCGCACAATTATTTGTTGGTGGTGATAAATTTACAGTTATTAGTTAGTTATTTGTCTTTTGCACAATGCACAGGGGCACAATTGTATTAGCTATAGAATTTGAAAACATCGTGTTAAAATTTCGCACTCTTATAATTCTTTTTTGCGCGTATGAAACTCAAGGCCTCACATTTCAAAGTTCGCCTAGGGCGTCTCAAAATATTTGGAATCTCAGGGCCGGCCCTGACTCTCTATATGTATATAGGAATAAAATAGAACATTACTTTAATTTATGCACATTATATTTCAAAAGAACTCGAAACATTTCACATCAAATTGTACAAAATTTAGTTAGAGATTCGAATGGAAGACCTGATACCATGACCTGGTCCACAAGTTATGTCTGTGGCTTGCACCTTCTTGGACCCACTCACAATAGATATACAATCATCACCTTTAAACACATTAATTAATTAGGAACTTTATCAATTAGAAACATATATATGTGTGTATTAGAAGTATTTGGATGAGTTATGTTTTGAAGTGTACCTGTTTCAATAGCACAGCTTTTAATCTGGATGTTTTGGGTGTTTGTGACATGAATCCCGTCAGTGTTGGGGCTATTCTCGGGTGCTGTCACCATGAGATTAGAAGCTACAACATTCACACATTTCTCAAAAAAAATGGGAATTTGTTGTGCATCTTCAACCTTCAGCTTTTTCACTATCAAGTTCTTGCAGTTGTAGAAGGTTGAAGCCTGCCAAAGCAAATTTTCTCAATTTATTCCGTAAATAATTATGGAACTAGCTAAAAATTAGAATTTTATTCTTTTCTTTTTTGCAGTGGGCCCAATAGGGCATACAGCCCAACAAGGGAAATTGGCCCAAACTAGAATAGTAGAACCATAATAATTTTTAATATATACATGGCTTTTTTTTTTTATTTTGTGCAGAAAAGTATAAAAGATCTTCAAGCAAGCCAATATTCTGACTCGCCTATTGGCAGTTTCGATGATTTGTACTCCGTTGTGAGGGGAGAAGAGAGAAGGGGTCGTGTGCGGATGCTTGGTTTGGGCCTGCACCAAGCCATGTTTGAGGGCCCTCCCCTAGTAAAGCTGAACTCATTAACAAAGCCAAAAAATTTGATGAGGAGGCACATGCTACACGTGTAGAGTTGCAAGATACAATTTCAAAAATGCAAGTTGATTATGACGACAAATTGGAAAATTTACGAGCCGACTATGACGACAAATTGGGAAACTTACAAAAACAAGTGGCTATACTAATGCAGATGCAATAACGAAATTCTAGTGGACAGGTATATTTATTATTAGTTTTACTCTTTACTGAATATAAGTTTACTTATGCCAAGATTTCATGTATAATTTTGTTTTGTTATTTTGAAGTGTTCTAATTCTTCAAATGCTCCTAGAGTATCCCCAAATTCAAGTTTTAATCGTGCTAATTCAGTTAAGGTTATGATTTTAATTTCTTATATGTTAAATTTCCATTATATTTTTTTCTAATACCCCTTATTTCTTATATGTTAAATTTTCATTTATTATAATATGTGCTTAATGAATTTATAAAAAATGTAGGGCAATTCAAATCAAATGGACACGAGTTGTTGAAGTTGAAGCTTGAAAAAAAAAAAGTTTGAAGATGGGGTCGTCGTGCTTTCTGAATTTCCTTAGCATAGCCACTTGTTTTTTGTAAATTTTCCAATTTGTCGTCATAGTAGGCTTGTAAATTTTCCAATTTGTCGTCATAATCAGCTTTCATTTTTGAAATTGTATCCTGCAACTCTACACGTGCAGCACATGCCTCATCAAATTTTTTGGCTTTGTTAATGAGTTCAGCTTTACTAGGAGAGGGCCCTCAAACATTGCTTGGTGAAGGCCCAAGCCAAGCATCTGCACACGACCCCTTCTCTCTTCTCCCCTCACAACAGAGTACAAATCATCGAAACTGCCAAAGAGAACAAATGAAAAATTAAGTTACTTTTGTATAAAGATTTCAGTATCTTATTTTTGACTCCAGTATTTGGTTGTCTATGGTTAAAAGATTTTTTGGTTAATTTAATCAGCAACAACCCAAAAGATCTAGGAACCAACCACCATGCTTGTTACAGGTTCAGGGTCAACTGGTGCTTTTTTGTTACTGTTGCTGACTCGTTGATGATGTGATTTCTGTTAAGGTATCTGGGAGATTTTTGCATATTTTTTGTCAAGCAGAATCAGCACTAACCAGTCTTGCAAAAAAACATATGATGTTCTATTTATCCATTTCAATTTCTGTCTTATGTGAAATAGATGTCATACAACTTCTTCAACAGGTTTTCAGGGGTAAGTATATCTGTATTTGCCAATAGGAAATAAAATGTAGCTTTCTCTCTCAAAAAAATTGTGCCTGTTTTAGACTAAAAATTCTGGTCTCTTTGTTGTATTGTCTTTGTCAATGTGTTTTTTTTTTTTTTTTAAAAATGAAGTCATAATATAAATAGTAGAAATTGAAAATATCCAAATCAACCAAATGGCATGAGTTAAGGAGTGGTCACAAAGGAAGGATATGTGCCCAGAAAAGGAACTTGTGGAGCTAACATGTATATATTTTTTTTTTAGGCATAAAAGATTTTCAAGCAAGCCAATACTCTGACTAGTCTATTGGCAGTTCTAATGATTTGTACTCTGTTGTTGTGAGGGAAGAAGAGAGAAGGGTCGTGTGCGGATGGTTGGCTTGGGGCTTACACCAAGTAATGTTTGGGGCCTTCTCCTAGTAAAGCTAACTCATTAACAAAGTCAGAAAAATCTGATGAGGAGGCATGTGTTGCACGTGTAGAGTTGCATGATACAATTTCAAAAATACAAGCTAACTATGACGACAAATTGAAAAATTTACGAGCTAACTATGACGACAAATTGGAAAATTTACAAAAACAAGTGGCTATGCTAATGCAGATGCAACAATGAAGTTCTAGTGGACAGGTATATTTATTATTAGTTTTACTCTTTACTGAATATATGTTTACTTATGCCAAGATTTCATGTATAATTTCGTTTTGTTATTTTGAAGGGTTCTAATTCTTCAAATGCTCCTAGAGTATCCCCAAATTCAATTTCTAGTCGTGTTAATTCAGTTAAGGTTATGACTTTTATTTCTTATATATTAAATTTCCATTATATTTTATTCTAATACCTTTAATTTCTTATATGTTAAATTTTCATTTATTATAATGTGCGCTTAATGAATTTATAAAAAATGTAGGGCAATTCAAATCAAATGGGCAAGAATTGTTGAAGTTAAAATTGAAGCTAGAAAAAAGAAAGTTTGAAGATGGTGTCGTGGTTGTGCTTTCTGAATTTCCTTGGCCGGTGTGAAAACTTATAGTACATTTTGATGGGTTCTTTTGAGGAAACTTGTGGTGTGTTTGTTACATTTGTGAAAAATTCTTTTGATTGTGTATACTTCTTTTGAAAAAAAACTTCTTTAGCGGCTTCATTGTGTTCACTACTCTTAAAAAATTTGGTTGACATTTAGCAGCTTTATTTATATTAGTAGACAATTTGGATGGTATTATCATATTGGCAGGTTAACTTGTGGTTGCTAGACATTTGGATGGTAATTGTTTTATATATAAATAGGTTTTATAAATGGGTTTCTTTAGTGGAAAGAAAAAAAACCGACAGAAAAAATAAATAAAACAGGGTAATCACTAGCGTTCATAAAATGAGCGCATATAAATGCTGGGAAAATGCTACTAGATTTTTTTTAGACTTTCACCAGTTTCTAAGTGTTGGTGAAAAGTATAACTGTTGTAGTGTATAAGAAATTTATTTATACAAAATTGCATTTTTCGCTGCCAAAGGTCCTTATTTTTGTTTATGAGTGTTAGATAAATCATTTGCATAACAATTTTATACATATATACGCATAACAATCTTATATATATATATATATATATATATTAAAGTTTCATGGTGATCCAAACTTTTTTTTTTTTTTTTTTTTTTCTTTCTTAAATAACGTGTATCGGTCTCACAACAAACGCACCATTTAAGTCAGGAATGCAGTTTGAAAGCGAAACTTCAAGGACTTATCTTTCGGATTCCAGTCAACGTCGTTATGTCTTGGAACAATTTGAACTTTAATTGTCAACGAAAAATATTAAAAGAATATTAAGAAGAAATATTAGGTGAACTTTCTAAATAATTAATTATTTTATATTTTAAAATATGTCTCGTTATATTTGAAACAAAAACAATCACATCCCCCGATGAAATAGTATATTTTTGGGTAAAGTATACAAACACCCCCTGAGGTTTGGCATAAGGACAAGTAGATACAAGTTAGCCTATTTTTGGACAATCACACCCCCTGGTCAAAAACTTGATCCAAACAGCCCCTTAAATTTTGTAAAAAGTCAAGATTGACCTTTAATATTTTATTAATTTAAATTATAAAATATCAAAACTTTTAAATGACTCTTTTACCCTTATACATTTATCACACCAATACATACATATATACATATATATATATATTTATATATCTATATGTATATTGTAAACCTATCAAACCCAGACCCGGCCATGACACCACTTCCACACCTTCCAACCACCGGCCGACGAGTGGTTCACCATCTCCTTCGTTCACATGTTGGTTACTCTTTTCACCGACACCTTCATCCTCCAAGAACCCCTCAAATAACTCCTCAGCCGCCGCCGCAAGTTTCTGGCATGAAGCGGACAGATCAAGGATTGACAGAGACATATTCCCTACGCCGGCGTCTTTGATTCTTGACGGCGGCAGAGAGTTGATGTTTGAGTGTAGAGCGAAGCTTTGAGTATGGAGTGATTGCTGAAGGAGGGGCGTTTGGCGTGACTCTACAATTGGTTCCGTCATCTTTAGATCTGGATGATGTCGACAGTTGAGGATGAAATCGGTGGTTTCGCCGCCGATAAGGGTTGCTGTGAGCTCTGTATGTGAGAGAAAGCTTGTAGATGTGGCCGTTGTTGGTAGGAGGTGAAGCCAGAGCAAGGGTTAGCAAAGGTGGCTTCGGTCGGTTTCTAAGGCCGAGAAATTGAGGTGGTTAGCACCGGCGGCAGATGGTGAGCACCACAACCTCGTCTGTAACTTACAAGGGTTTCATGAAGGAGGTGGTGAACCCCAGCGACAGATGGTGAGCTTCGAAAAAACATCGCTGAAGAAGGAGCGTGTGAAGGTGTGATGATGATAAGCGTGAAGGGTGAACCCCGACGGCTGAGGTGTGATGATGTGGCGGCGGTGGCGGAGTTTGAGGTGTGATGTTGGCGACGGCAGAGGGGTGATGTTGATGGCAGTGGCAGTATATGTAGTGCGTGTATATACACATACAGATGCTTCTGGGTTTCGCCGGCAATTTCTTTCGCCGATGCTTCTGGGTTTCGCCGCCACTGTCGCAATCATCGCCGCCGCCACCCCCACTGTCGCAGCCATCACCACAATCTCTCTCCTATCTTCTTCCTCTCTCTCCTATTCACCTCATCTCTTCAACTAAGGCCGCCCCTCTCTTCCCCCTCTCTCTACACCCACCACTACAACCGCAGCCACAACCACCATCCATCTGATCTCCCTTCTCTCTCCTCTGGTGAACTGTATAAGGCGGGTTCGGGTTTGGGTTTGGGTTTGGGTTCAATCAAAGGGTATTTAAGTCAATTAAAATGTTAATTTTATTTGAAAGGGTAATAAGGTCAATTCACCATCTTCAGGGTCTCTTTGTCCATTTTTCAAACTTGAAGGGGTGTCATTGTTCAAAAACAGGCTAACTTTTCTCTGCTTGTCCTTTCCTCAAACCTCAAGGGGTGTCAATGTACTTTACTTTATATTTTTATTCATGCAGGAGTCATATTTTGTAATTCTTATATAATAACAATCCCATCAAAAGGCATTATTGCAATTATTATATAATAACAATCCCATCAAAAGGCATTATCGCAATTAATGAATATCAATCACCAATTAATGGATATCAATATGGTGATTTTTTTTTTTTTCCTTAAGAGGAGGTTGAGTCATTAGTGTTCAAGTATGGTACAGACCCTCTTCGCGCATTTGCTTGAACTTTTAAAAATATATATTATATATTATTATAAAATTAGCAATAAATGTGCTTAAAAAAATATTATTGCCAAACATATTAAAAAGTACTTTAATTATGAAAAGTCCGCCTACATATTTTTGTAGTGAAAGCAATTTTTGACAACTTTAGTAATAAAAGCGATTTTCTTCTTAACATTAATAACAATGCATTGTTTGGTTAGATGAAATCAACTAAAAAAAGAAAGAAAAGATAAAACTTTTAATTTTTTTTTAAAGTTTTGATAGAAGGAAAGAGAAACAAACAAGAAAATTTTTAGTTTATCGCCCTTATCTATTTTACCTCAAAACTTTTCTTGTACAAAACAGGCGAAGCATTAAATGAGTTCCTTTTTTATTAGATATTTCTATTTTATCCCAAAAAAAAGAAAAAAAAAAAAAGAAGAAAAAAATTAATCGTGCCAAACAACTTGCCAAAAAAGAGGCAATTTGTTTCGTGATTTTTTTCTTTGTTTTTTACTGGGTTTCTTTGTGTGCATGGACAATAAACTAATATATGGATGGAAGGTTCATCTAAACAAATTTATTTATTTATTTTCATATTTGCTGATCTAATAGTTGATAATAATACTTGGCAACAACAATAAATAGTTTTACCATAAAAAGAAAAACATATAATCAAAATATTTTTTTTAAGTTTCATTTTTCTTAAACTAATAGTAATTAGTTTTACTTAAAAAATTATTATGACGCCTTATTTTAAATTTAAATAATAGAAATAAATATTAAAAAATTATGGTATTATATTTAATAATTTACTAAAAATAGTTAATCATCAAACATAATTTTATTTATTTGTTTTAGCATTTGAAATCATAAGAATAGTTTTGGTATGTATAATCACTTTTTTCTTTTTCTTTTTCCTCCTTTTTTTTTTTTTTTCTTTTTTTTAACTTTCATGATATCCAAACTAACTAACTAATATTTTTTTATAATTTTTTTTGAATAAATTTTCATGCTGATTAAATGCAGAGTATATACAAAAAGTGTAATCCGTAGTGTATAGTAGTATTCAATTGCTCTCCGATGAGTAGGAAAAATCATGCTCACTTTCAATTATAGCCTTAGGATCGAATCCTACTGTTAATATAATTCTTGCAACATTTTAGGAGACTGATATCATTTGATTTAGTAATTAATTACAATTGAAGTAAAATGACAATAGTAATCAGTTTCATAAGAAGAAATAAATCATTGATACAACTTTTTAAGATTTGATTGATTAACTGTGAATGGAAGAATATTATTTTTATTGAAATCATATATGAAAACTTTTTTTTTTTTTTGAAAGATAAGAAGTTAAAGGAAGAGTATATAACAAGAAAAATTTTATTTATTTATTTATTATTATTTTTTTTGGCTAATCTTATTTTTTCTTATCAATTAAATATGTCTTCATATTTTGTCCATAAAAATAAAAATTCTTGTTATATACTCTTCCTTAATTTTTATCTTTAATAAAAATAAAAAATAAATAAAAAATCATATATGATTTCGATGGAAGAGTTAATCAACCAAATCTTAAAATGCTATGTCAAACAAATTGTTTTTTTCTTTTTATGAAACGTCTATTATAGTAATTTTACTTCAATTGTAATTAATTATTAATTCAAATAATATCACTTCTCTAAAATAGTGATTATATTAGTCGTAGGATTAGATTCTATAACTATAATTAAAAGTGAGTATGATTTTTCCTGCTCATCGAGAAGCAATTGAATACTACTGTCGTAGCGGTGCTTCAAGTTCTGATTCTTTACGCTAATTTAATTTTATTATAAACCGTGTTTTGGCTCTTGTAACATCACTACATTTTTATAACCCACAGTGTTGTAATATATTAGTCAATTATTTTACTGCTAATTAGGATTCACGGGTACTTCTAATAAATCAGATTATACAGGTGGTCACTAATGGCAAATACAAGAGTGTGTTGCACCGTGGCCTCAGACAAACGGTGTCCGGATGTTGATAACTTCTGCTGATTTTCCAAATTAAGCTTTTGACATGGATGCTTTGTTTTGTGGGGTTCCTTTCCTTCTAATCAGAGTTCTGATTGGTTTGTGAAGAGATTAGTAATGGGCTCATTTTTCTTTTTCGTTTTTCAGTTTAGATGTCAGTGTGTCATGCTAAAAAATTACATACTTAACCCTATAAATTTATCTTTTAAAATATAAAAAGGTATAATAAAATAATATCATTTATTTTCTTTTCTTATATCATTTAACCAAACACGTTCGTAGGTTAAAACTATCATCTCATTTTCTTTATTTTCTCTCATAACTAATGTTATATTTTCTTTTATTTTCCACTATACTAAACATAACCTTAGAGAAAATAATTCAGATCACACAAATCGACGTGAGAAATAAGTTTAAAAATCAATTTTCATAATTTATTTATAAAAATATTAATTGGAGTACGAAAATCCAAGAC